CCGCCAGCCCTGCCTCCCCCGGCCCAGTGGAGCGGCTCGGTGCGGTGTCCGCCGGTCAAGCTCGGTACTCCTCCGAGTCTCTCCTGAAACGTTCACGAACTCTTCCACGGCGTCGTCCTACAAATGGAAAATGCATTTTGGACTCGCCTTTGGGGGTCTAGTTGCCATTGCTCCTCATTCATTCCCCCCCTTCCGGCCCCCCGGTGATCTGCAGGCCCGGGAATTGCACAGCCTGTTAACTATCGCCTGTGTTTGTATCAACTCCTGTGTTTGGTAGGTGCGGCTTATGCCAACCCGGATTCTCCATTTGAGTAGGCAGACCTTGGTGCTCCAAATAATGGCAGAGACCCCGGGGAGGTGTCTCTTTAGAACTCTAAATTTGGGGTCCAGTTTCTACAATTTTTCAGTGACACAACTCTCCCCCTCCCCACAAAAGCGAATTGAACTCGCATCTACCTGATGACCTGCAGAGACGTTGAAAATACCTTTTTTCAAGAGTCAACCTTTCTCTTGGTCGGTGTCTGGCATGAAATCTTGGATAATTGCCATAATGTTGAGTTATGTTTAAAGAATTATTCTGAGGAATAAATTTCACATGAAGCAGAAGGATCGTTACCAGCAATATGCAGAAAATATCAAAGACCGCAATAAATTAATGGTACTCTCCAGTTATTCCTATACCTTTACATCTCTAGCATTCCATTTAAAACTCTTACTCATTAATTATTTATTATATCTGTGTTCCACTTTTAATTATTCAAAAGAAGGGCAACAAATCCCATAAAACCCATAAAATGCCATTTATAAATTATATATCAGAATATTTCTACTAATTAAATTCCTTTTTTTATTAAACTATTTGAACACTTACCGGTCAATTCTTGGACCTTATTTTCTCTAAAAGCAGCGTTTGGCACAGTTGGTCATTCTCTGCTTCTTGGAGCAATAGAGAAAGCTTTGCTAAATGCCACTCTGATCATGTCACTCTACTGCTCAGAACCCTCCTTGGATAAATAGAATGAGGTATATCCGTACAAGGGGACATTATTAAGTCATAAAAAGGAAAAAAGGCCTACCGGATGGAGCTTGAGAATACTCTGCAAAGCCTACGGTAGACACAAAAGAATACATTTTTGTTTGCTTCAGTTACATGAAATGTCCAGAGCAGACAAATGGATAGAAATAAAGTAGTTCGTGGTTGCCTGGTGTTGGGGCTTTGAGGGCCCTGGGAGCAAAAGCTAAACCTTGTGGGGTGATGAAATTATTCCAAAATTAGTTTTCTGTGCTGGTTGTACAACTCTCTGGATGTACTAAAAGCTGTTGAATTGTATACTTTAAATGAGTGAATTTTATAGTATGTGAATTTTACCTCAAAAAGCTGTTAAAAATTGTTAAACATGACGACCAAATGCAGCGTATGATGCTTCATTGGATCATGAAGAGGGGAGTTATAAAGTGGCATTATAAAGCTGTTAACTTTTCTAAAGCTGTAGTTGGCCTTTCTTAGTGCAGTCCTAATAGCCTCAAATGGTAATTATTAATATTACATACATTATGAAATTTCATTTTGCCCCTTGTGCAAATTATTTAAGTGGTAATAAAATTTTGCAAACTTTTTAAAAGGAGCTTACTGAGACAGTTATAAAAACTTGAATATGGCTGCCAGGGATTTAGCTCAGAGGCTCCTCTGAAAGTGCAGGGACCCAAGTTCCATCCCCCCAGTACCAAAAAACAAACAAAAAACTTGAATGTGGACTATTTGGGTTTTTGTACTAGGGATCAAACTCAGGACCTTACATTTTCAAGGCACTGAGCTACATCTCCAGCCCATATTATAGTTTTTAAAAATCCCTCCGGGGCTCCCTCATTTCACTCAGAATAAAAGCTCTCACAATGTGAACAGAACCCTCCTATTCCTCTCCACCCTCCTTTGCACTCCAACCTAGCCTCCTACTTTCTCTCTTGCTCCCCTCTGCTAGACATCCTGGCCTCCTCCCTCTTCTGGAATAATCTCAGCTCTTGCGTGCTAGCTGATTCCTCTCTAGAAAGCCCTTCTCACAGATGTTCAATGGCTCATCCCTTCCCTCCCCTCTTCCCTCTAGCAGTGTTTCCTGGCTACCATGGACAAGTAGCTCCCTCTCCACTTGTCACACACACACACACACACACACACACACACACACACGTGCTATGTCCTCTTTTTCCTGATTGGCAGTGACTGTTTCACATAATCTGTGTTAGGCTTTCTATTACTGTAACAAATATCTGAGATAATCAGCTTATAAAGAAAAAAGGGTTATTTTGGCTTACAGTTTCAGGAGTTCTGGTCCATGGTTGTTCGGCCCTGTTGCTTTTGGGCCTGTTGACAGCACATCAGGGCTGAAAGTAAGTCATAGAGCAAGCTGCTCACTTCATGGTAGCTGGGAAGTGAGGAAGTAGGAGAGGAAAAAAAGAAGGGGGAAAGGGGGAGAGAGAAGGAAGGGGAGGGGAGGGGGAGGGAAAAACTGGAGGGAATTTGCAAAAGTGGGAATAGTTATATTGGGCTGGTAGGACCATGGGTGGGTCCCCTTCCCTGCACAATTTTATGAATTGTTGAACCCCCTAGGCCCCACTTCTTAAGAGTTTCCATTATCCTCCAATAGGGCCAAGCTGAGGACCGAGGCATTAACACCTAGGCCTGTGAGGAAAATTCCAAATCCAAGCTATAACATGGTGTAACTACTTAGCTATAAGAGCTAATTCTTGGCCTATTGTGCTCATTACTGTCATCTCAGGGGCTGATACAGTACCTGGCATCTAACAGGAGCCCATAAGCCCCAGTGGAGTGCTCGCTTTGGCAGCACATGTACTAAAAGGGCCTATGAAATAAGTGAATGAATCAAGCATTGTCCTAATCTTAGGGGGCACTCTAGCAAACAGAGCACATAGAAACCCTTGCCCTCATCAAGGGAGACAGATAATCAATACACAGACATCTTAGGTGGTGATGCCAGTGAGGGAGAAAGCAAGATGAAGACTTGGGAATGAGGGTGGTAACTGTTGCTATAGGGGCAGGGAAGACCTCACCAACGAGCTGTACTAAAGGAAGAGGAGGAAGTTGGGTGATGTGACGGATGGGTTTCCAACCCTGTAAGCAGAGGAAGAGTCTACTTCAGGGGCTCGTGGAAGCCCCAGGGGTGAATGCAGTGATACAGAAGAAGCTCGGGACTGATGGGAAGCCGCCGTGGGGTCCAGGTGCATGGAGGCTGGTGGCTGCAGAGATGGGACCCTGGGCGTCCTCCCTTCTCACTTCTTCATCCCTTCCTCAGAGAAATGTCCCGGCATCCTGCTTCTGAGAATCACTGGGGGTTGAGAACCAGGAGAGTCTAAGAATGAATGCAGTGTGAATCATGGCAGCACTGCCAGGCAGGCCCATGAGGGCCTGCTGGAGCTTGGCCCAGTCAGCAGGGCTGTGGATTGCTCTCCCGCCTCCATTTCCCTGAAGGAGCAAAGCTGGGTTTAATGAAGGACGGGTTTTGCAGGCAAGTTACAGAGAGAAGCAGTGTCTGGGAACAGGAGGTATAGACAAGGGAGTGACCACGGGGCTGTGCGTGGTAAGGACAGAGTGAGGATGAAAGGAGTGTGGACATTAGAAAGATGGCAGGATCGATGGATTGAAGGTCCCAGGGAGATCCACTGGATTGCTAGAGTTGGGAGCCTTTTGTAAAGGGGATCATGGGGTGCTTAAAACTTACAATGGCTAGAGTTTACAAAGCAATTGCCTGGTACAGTGCTAAGCACCTGAGAGACATCCTCTCCTGGTATCAGGACTTTCCTATGCTGTCTTCCTCAACTTTGCCTAATGTGATGTCGATCTGATTGGCTGGAGAGACGAGAAAAGCATACTTGTGGATGTATCCAGTGCTAACTTTGGGACCATGCAGCGTCTCACCCCCAGCCCCTACCTCGTGAGCACCCTTCCCATGCTCTGCTTCCCAGCCGTCGTGAAGTGAGCAGCTTTGCTCATGCTCTTCCACCATGGTTTCTGCTTTTCCACCAGCAAACCATGGACCAAATCTCCTGAAACCATGAGCCAAAGTAAACCTCTTCTCCTTTGAGGTGAAGTATCGGTGTTTGGTCCCAGGGGCAAAAAGCTACCCAACAGAGATGAGATCACGCTGATTGTCTTTGGGTTTGTGGGGAATAATAATGACCACAGTGTTGGGTGTGGGGGCACACCTTGTAATCCCAGCCCTTGGGAGGCTGAGGCAGGAAGATTGCAGTGAGCTCAAGGCCAGCCTGCACTACAAAGTGAGATCCTACCTCAAAAAAAAAAAAAGGCCATTATGAAGCTAATGTTACATTTGCTGTTTATCACACATTGTTTTGAGTTCCTTGCATATTATTAACTCCTTTCATCTTCAAAACAACTCAACACAACAGATACTACATGTTCTCTGTCCTGCAGATGAGGAAACTGCAGCACTGACATGTTAAGTGACTTGCCCCAAGATCACACAGCAAGTGTGTTGATGCCTCTAACATACTTATCGTGGCATCTGGTGTGTTGCACATGTTCACTTCAGGTGGTCACTGTTCTCACTGGATGTTCGCAGTCCTGTGCTGAGAGTAAAATTTCTATCTTCAGTGGATTACTCAGCTTTTGAAAGTCCCTACATGATGTCCAGAAAAAAAAATCCCATAGTTTTGCTACATTTGACACCAAAGGCTATATATGCATACATATATACACATATACATGAAATAAGAAACGGTGAAACAGCTCAAAGATGTTAGGCCCAAGATCTCTATGATTCATTTGCTTTGACCTCATGGTTGATTATACAACGGTTACTGCAGTTCCAGTCCCCATGGAAAAAGCAAAGGTAAGGATAGGAGAAGCGAGCTGAGCCTAACATCCATGCAAAGAAGACATTCCTTACCACCGCCATCTGTTGTAGGCTTTCTTTGCCACTAGAGCTGCGTACACCTCTGGTGAAAACTCTCTCACGGCCTCTTCTATTCACAAAGATGGCTAGAAAATGTTTTTTGTTTTTTAGCATGAGAAAAATCGTGACTTCGATGAAATGAGGGAGCGAGGCAGAAAGTGAAGGATGAATGCCAAAGTGTGCTCCAAATGGTTTACACTGGCCTTCGAGAGGGAATGACTCCGTTCCCAGGGATTTGTTGTTCTTGTCCTGACTGTTGAGTGTATTGGTTGCCTGAAATTGGCCATGTCCTGCAAAGAGGCAATAAGTAGAATGACTTCAGAAGCCAAGCAAGGGCTGGGAACATGAACCCACCTGAGACATTTTGTCTGTGCAGTGCATATTTTAGGGTGTTTAGAAATGAGCACTGGAAACCAAATCATGCATCAGAGCTGCAACATGTACCTTAGATGTTTCTTTAAAAAATCTTATTCCTCTATCTGACTTGCTTTAATGAAGCAGTGAAGGTAAATAATCTTTTTTTGAAAATAAAAGCAATGATAAATAGTGATCGCTCTAAAAGGCTTGGGTATTCAACTGAATCATACATACTCAAGAACTGTTTGTAGAAGGTTTTTAGAGGTTGTAGAAGGTCAGTACTTGTAAATAACAGCTGCTCTTACTTCTAAACGTGACACCAAATAGAACAAAAAACCAGAAGTCAGAGAGAGGAGAGTCTACATGTGACTTTTACTATCTACAAAGTGTATTGGAAGGGTTAGCCTTAGATCTGTGGCTATATGGACTTGTTAATATTGTACATCCAAGTGCGATACAAATTAGCAACCTTCAGAAACTCTCTGGCAATGGCACAGAGGAAGAGCTACAGGCTATAATTTATTTGTATAACTGGATCAAAAAGTATCTCTACTCGCAAGACAGTGTCCTTCTGGTTTCTGGAAGGATTCTTCCACTCTCATTAGCATATACCCCAAATTAGCTCATCTTTGAAAAGAAAGTCTAATGTTGCACTTTTCCATTTGGGACAGGTGATCAGATTTTGTTTTG